CCATTACTGTCAAGTTCCAGATCTTCTTGTGCTTTATAAGTCCTTTCTATTGTATAACCAGGGATTATCTGATTGTCATAACCTTTGATACTAACTTTTAATGACTTGTAACATTTAGGATGTCTGTGAATGAGATTTGTAGAGTGATTTTTTTTTTTAGTGTCTTGTATTTTATGCCATCCACTCTTGTGAATCAGTATTTTATATTTAACACAGTATTTAATAAAAAATATAATGATAATGCTAGAGAACATCATTTCTTGTGGAGTAGGATTTAAATAAAGACTCAAGATACCTCATTTGTGCCTGCTTTTTCTCCAGTGCGTCTGTTAAGTCAAAATGAGTTTTCTTGGAGGATCTTAAACAAACCAACACCAACAACAAAACCACACTCAGCAATCTGATCTCCTACTCTCCCCAAATAGGATCACCGAGAAATGAGGAGAGGAGAATTGGCAAGCCAAGATGTAACATAGGAGCCCAATGCACCATCGTTACGGGGCTGACATGAAATCATATTATACCCATTGCATTGTAATCACCAGTCCAATGCAACATTGTTGTCTGGCCAGCATTAAGTCATATTCTTTTTCGGTACACAACTGATTATAGAACATAGTCCAAAGCAAATAAAGACTCGCCAGAGTGATAGGCTAGTGGAAGACACGTAAGAGCTGGTCCTGTGATGAGCTGCACGTGGGGAACTCAGTTATAGTGAAGCTCCATTTCCTGTGAATGGAACAAGAGTGCCAATGGGTCTCAGTAAATGATGGCTTAGAGCAAAGCAGGTCAAGGGGTGGTGGGGTGGGAAATGGCTTCACTATAAGAGGGTCTGATGGGGCAGAGATGCTATTTGGTCTCTGGGAAACAAGGGGTTAATTTAATGTCCGCTTTTACCATGAGAGAAGGACTATAAATCGCCCGAGGGGAATTCTGGTGAGAAGAAGAATGCTGCTGGAGAGCTTGTGCTCCGCACCAGGGTTAGGGGCCTGGATTGAACTCCAAGATGGGAAGTTTCCCTGGAGGCAAAGAATTTGATGGTTGTTCCTGTCTTTTTTGCTGACTCGTTCCAGTGGTTTACAGAGACGCCCACCTACAATGTCTCAGTATGCAGCTTTTCCCCGAGAAGCTCTGGGTGAAGGGTATTCAGAACCTTGGGTGAATCCAGGAGAAAAGGAAGAAAGTCCCCACAGTGGCTTCATTTCCAAACACCTTGTTGGCACCTCTGGCCTGTTATTTTTAGTCTTCCTCCTTTCACTTGTGTCAAATGTAGTGGGTGGAACTCAGCAGAGGCTGGTGACATGATGAAACAGGAAACCAAGTGTGATCTGTAAAGGGCGCCTCAGAGCCAGTAATGATCAGACTGGATTCAAAACAGGAGACACAAGACCCTCATTGGCTTCCGTGGGAGCAGGATTCGGCCCCTAGTTTCTAACTAGGGTGACCAGATGTCCCGATTTTATAGGGACAGTCCCAATTTTTGGATCTTTTTCTTATATAGACTCCTTTTACCCCCCACCCCCGTCCTGATTTTTCACACTTGCTGTCTGGTCACCCTATTTCTAACTGCACCTACAACATCTCTTTGTGAGTCAATACACAGATCAGCAGCACAAGCCGCTGGGACGTATATAGCAATTACACTCCTCAGCCATTCTGGCTTCTCACTTCCCCAGCTTTGCATACTTGCTACTGAAAATGCTATCAGCTCGCATGAGAGGAGTTACATTGGTGTAACTCCTCAGGGATTCCTTTGACTTGCATCATTCTGGATTTACACCAGAGTAACTGAGATCAAAATCTGACTCTAGCTCAAAAATTCATTCTGAGTTCTGCTGCTGCATACAGACTGGCTTCCCCCTGCTGGAGTGCTTGGGCCATGCAGTTTATCTGTTAACTGCATCCCTCATCTCTCATGCAGCGATGCTGGGACATGTGTGGCTGTTTATGTTGAGAGGTGTGTGGGCATTCTAGTAGTACGTGTGATAAGGATGCGCTGTAATACTCTCTATGAGCTGAGGGGTGAAAACATTATCTACTGAGCATATTTCCTTACCAGCTTTAGTTATAAACTGGCCCAGTACCCCTCTGTATGGTCACCCAATTGCTGGGTCCAATATAATTCTGAGTCTGCTGGATCTGGGTAGTTTCATCACTGTTTCTAGCTCTGGAACGCTAGGCATTCTCCTGGGCCCAGCCCTCTCGTCTTGCATCCTTCCTTGGGACATTGGACACTAACTCCCTAGACCCTCAAACCAATGTCTGAGACCTTCTGAGTCCTCCCAGTCTCATGCACTCCCTCGGAGCTCTACACAGGGTGTGGACACTCATTTAATTCCTTCAGAGAAACCCTGGCAAGCAAGCAAAGAACACAGGCTTAGCGAAGGAATTTCTTAACCACAGTGACTTTGCCATTAAAAGCACTCAAGTTGCAGATAATTGAAAATAATCGAAGTCCTGAGAGACATTCTCCCCTCGGCTGAGCTCACCCCTTCAGTGAGTGTGTAGTTCATCAGAACTGCAGGCGGGGCAAAGTCTCTCCTGTACTGCCTTCTTATGTGTGCCAATGGTCAGGACCCCTTGCACAGAGCTCTAAAACAGAGCCCCTAGCTCAGTGCCGTGTGTTCACACTCCCAGTCCAGCCAGTCACGTTTGTTCCTCTCCCTTGCAAGCTCCTGTGTAGAAAGGCCTTTGTTCCATGGAGATGGACCATTAGTTGGTGGCCCTAGATTGCAGTCTTGATGGCTCTCCGCAATGGTCATAAGAACAGCCATACTGGGTCAGGACAATGGTCCATCTAGCCCAGTATCCTGTCTTCTGACAGTGGCCAATGCCAGATGCTTCAGAGGGAATGAACAGAACAGGGCAATTTTGAGTGATCCATCCTGTTGCCCAGTCCCAGCTTCTGGCAGTTGGAGGTTTAGGGACATCTGGAGCATGGGCTTGTGTCCTGCCCATCCTGGCTAATGGCCATTGATGGACCTATCCTCCACGAACTTATCTAATTCTTTTTTTCAACTCCTAGTTTTGGCCTTCACAACATCCACAGGTTCCACAGGTTGACAGTGCGTTGTGTGAAGAAATACTTAAAACAATCTATGTTTGTTTTAAAGCAGCTGCCTATTCATTTCATCAGGTGATGGCTAGTTCTTGTGTTATATGAAAGGGTAAAATAAGAATTCCCTATTCACTTTCTCCATACCTTTTTGCACTTCTGATCTTAATCATGCGACTGCCTATAACAAGTGTGCTTAGAAATCCAAGATCCAAACAGGTGTGTCAGTACTTCCTCAGGGGGCATGGATCAGTGTTCATGTCGCACTCCCCGTCAGCACCCGGCCCAAGCCGGGGAAGCTAATGATCCAACCAGAGGACCAAATTCGGTGATGAATTCTGGTCACATGCCACCTGAGGCACATTGTGCATATGCTCAGAAGTACTTCCTCCTGTCCACTTTATCTCTTGTCCTGGTGGGGATTAATCCCAAAAGGAGATGGGTAGGCAGGGAGATCTACCCACCTGGCTTTGCTCGCTTCTCACAGCTGTTACACAGATGCCCTCATTTCCAGAACCATCTCTCTCTCCATCCCACACAAGCCTGGTCTCCTTGCACTTTGCTTATTGTAAGTTAATGACACCAGGAATGCTGAATCATGGGACTGAGAGCAGAGAAAATTAGGATATAGAAACTAATCTCATGCTGTTTACAGATTCCTGCGCTATCATATTTCATTTCTTCCACATCATATTCCAGATCTTGGACCACAGCGCACTGGGAGGTTTGGTTGCAATACACCAGAAAAGACAGTCTCTGACACCCCTTTACATTTTTGGGGGGACTTCCCCACAAAGCAAACTCTTCTGGGTTAGAGACAGAAAACTATTTGATTTGGAGGGAGTCTTTCTAGCCCCCCCTTATGCTCATCTTCATTAAGACCACTTTATCCAGAGCTGCTGTTCAAAACCCAATTACAGGGGAGATTTTCAAAGGCAGAAACGAGTCATTTGGTTAAGAATCGGCTATTGATTTAGTTATTGACTTACGTTAACAAACAATCTGAAACAGGCCACTTTTAAACCAAAGGGAGAGTATTCAAACTGAGCTTCGCAGTAGTTTAATGAAATCCATTTAACCAAATCAGTTCAGCTAAACCAGTGCAATATAGTCAAGGCCTTATTTCCCTCCCACCCTTCGTTTATCTTTGTCTATTTAGATTGTGAACTTTATGGCGCAGGGACTATCTCTTGCTATGTGAGGTGTTTGCTCAGGGCCTGATCTTAGTTAGAGCCTACAGGCGTGACCATAATACAGAGGGGAAGGGAAGTGGCCTCTGACAGCTGTCAGGCCATTTAGAAGGGCAAAGGTGAGGACAATAATGTTTATGTCTTGTGCAGCTCCGAGCACGTTTTCCGCCCCGGGCAAATAATAACTCTCAATAATATTTCCTCTCTTGCGGTGCCTGCCACCCCAGGATCACAGAGCTCTTGATAATGAGTGGTATAGTGTAAACGCTTTGGGAAGGGCCACCTTTTTGTCATGTGTTTGTAGGACACCTAATGGCCAGTCTTTGGGCCCTGATCCAAATGCGTAATATCTCTCACGACAGCCCACGAGGCAGGTAAGGGATGCAGGAGGGCTCAGTCACCCACCACGGACATGCAGCCACCTCTGGGGCGGAAGGCGGCAGCTGTTCAGCAGACACCGGAGGCAGAGGCTCGGGCCAGGAGGCTGCTCGGTGCCTCCTTTGCCCCTTCCCCGCGCGGGTCTGACAGCGGGGCCGGTCCGATTCCCAGGCCGGGCCTAGGGCTGGGCGGGTGCCCCCGGGGACCCGCCGAGCTCGCCCCGCGGCCCCCGGGCCCGTCGCGCTGAGGATCCCGAAGGTGGCGCCCTGGAGCCGCGGAGCCGCCTCCTCTCCACTGCCATCTCCGCCCCGGCTGGCGGGACGTGAGCGCTCCGGGCTCGGCGGGGCTCGGCTAGCGCCGGCTCCTGCCCTCTGCAGCCGGGCTGGCCGGGGCGGGGAGCCGCGGCAGGGGAGAGGCGCCCGACGGGCGGACCAGGGACGGTGAGTAACGACTCGGGGGGTGCGGAGCCTGCAGGGGAGAGCCCGGGGCAGGCTGAGCGGGGGGTGGGGGTGATCCACTAAAGTGGCTTCAAGTTGAGGAGCCAGAGGGAGAAAAAGGGGGGCGAGGGAGACAGGAGACCCCCCACCCCGGGCTGGCAGCACGGCTCCCCTAGGGCTGGGGGCAAGCAGCCAGCGGGAGACAGACAGACAGACATGCGGGCACACACACTCGCGAGGCAGCCTGGCACACGGACCCTGGAGAGACAGACTGACAGGCTGACCGGCATTGAGAGAGACGCAAACACCCGCTGAGCGAGACACCAACAAGCATCCAGAGCCAGAGCCAAGGAGACACGCAGGCATCGGGATGGACAGCCGGACCGACAGACACAATGTCACAGTGGGTTGCTGCAGCGACCCGCCCTCCCTGAGAAGGGTCCCAGCAAACCCACACAGAGGCCCCGCGAATGCAGGGCGGCTGGCCCCAGAAGCTTTGCTAGCCCTGGAATATTTGTTTTCCTGCCCTTAGAAAGTGAAGCCAGAGAGCGAGAGTTGAGGCTTGTCTGGTTGCCATTGGAGACCAAACCTGCCTTGAGAATAACACCAGACTGTAAAGAAGCAAACCTGATGGTTTGGTGGGTGATCCTGCTGCTTTTTCACTCCCTTCCCCCCTAAACAACCCATTTCACCCACTTTCAGGCTCTCGACCATCCCAGAATGTCTGGCTTTAGCAGGAAAATGTTTGCTACACAATTGCCCACGGGAGAGCAGAGCAATTTCTTTTGGAGTTTAAGTAACTTCAGTAAATTATGAAGAAAATGCAGGGGAGTTAGTCAGTTGCTCTGGGATTGCCTATTTCCAGCCCTGTACAGGATCAGTTCATAATTTTTCCAGTGGTAATTAAGAACTCCTAATTAGAGAGTCCACTGAGATTCAGATGCTTGAAAGCGAGCAGAAAGCAAACACACACTTTAAAATACAGTTCTTGCATACAGTACACAGCTCAGAGGATTGTCATTTGTACATGGGCATTACTGCAGGGCCAGTGCGTATATGGGGCCGAGCAAAACTCGTTTTTAAAAGATTCATATTAAGACCCCTATTGACTTCAGCAGGAGTAGAACATGCTCTGCAATTTGTAGGATCAGGCCCTCGAGTCTTATCATCTGTTCAAGTAGTGCCATAGCTGTAGATAGCAGTTGAGAAACTTGTAGTAAGACATGGTTCCTGGGAGCTCTTTCGGGCAAGGAACCATCATTTTGTTCTGTGGTTTTACAGCGCCCACTTCCTGGATCCCAATGAGGCATTTGCCCATGCCTGGGATGCCTAGGTGCTGCTGAAATACAAATTAATAATAATAGTAATAATTAATAATGCTTTGAGGAGTTTAATGCCCAATCCAACTTTGGCTGAAGTCACTTCACTGGGAGTTGGATCAGGCCCTAAATATGACAGATGCAACACACTTGATTAACTATCCGTCTCTAAATGGCAGACTTGATAGTAACACCCTGGAGAGAGGAGAGGGCTGCTTTCGTCACTACAGAGGCATTTCCAGAGGTGTCTCTGCAGTCCCTGTGCATTGAATGTGAAATCTTCCAGTTAGGAACTGGCAGCTGAGTCTCAAACCTGTGAGTCTTCGTGTTTTCTCTTCAAGTCTTTATCACCGTACTAGATGTTCCCTTATTCTGAATAAGCAAAAGAATTTTCCATCTGACATCTGACTGGAGAAACAACCGACTAGTCCAACCTTTCTCATTTCACTCAGCTTTCCCATTTGCCACCATAGGCTCAAAATCCCTCACCCTACAGGAAGTTAATCACAGAGTCAGTTTGAGTGATGCCTTTTATTTTCTTCAATTTCACTCCCATCCCCATTATACAGGGTGAAGGTGGGGCCAGGGGACACCTCACCAAAGCAAACGGTCTGCATGAGCTCACTTTACGTTGGTCTTGGATCTGTAGAGGGTCAGGATTTAATAGTTAAGGGATGTAAGTCTAAGTCTCTGGGTCCACAATCTTCTCATTTCCTTTGCCTTTGGAGTTATAATTTGTTCCACATTGTAGTGTTGGAGCCAGCCCTCAATCCGCCCACGGTGTCTTTGCTGTTCTCCGTCTGAGGCTGCGACTCTGGTTTCCATTTAAAAAAGGAAATTCTGCAAAAAGGGACCTGAGATAAATAGCCTCACTGGTTGTATTTCTTGGACAGTTAAATCTGAAATAAGCAGCACACATGCATGTGCAATAGGCAAGCACAGCCACCTTCCCATTGTTGTGTGTAACCTGCATGCTCTGGGATAAACACAGGGGAAATTCAAGAAGGTTGGAAGAGTGCTAATGTTGTGCCAATATTCAAAAAGGGCAAACGGAATCACCCAGGTAACCGGAGGCTGATCAGTCTGACATCAATCCCAGGCAAAATAATGGAAAAGCTGATATGGGTTGCAATTGATAAAGAATTAAATGATAGGAATATAATTAATGCCAGTCAACATTGTTTCATGGAAAATAGATCTTGTCAAATAAACCTTCATTCTGTGAGGAGATTACAAGTTTGGTTGATAAAGATAACTGCATAGATGTCATATATTTACATTTTTTTAAGGCATTTGACTTACTACTGCACAACATACCGAGTAATAAATTAGCACTATATAGTATTAATAAAGCACACATTAAATGGATTAAGAACTAGCTGACTGACAGCTTTCGAAAAGTAGTTGTCAGAAGGGGATCATCATTGTATTTCTAGAGGGGTTTTGCAGCCCCTTCAGGACTAGGCTTGAGGCTAGCCAGTACTTGCATCAATAATCTGAAAATAAATATAAAATCACGGCTTATAAAACTTGCGGCTAAGACAAAGATTGGCAAAGTGGTAAATAGCAATGAGTGGCCAGGCCTACAGAACAATCTGGATTGCTTAATAAACTGGTCCCATTCAAGTAAAATATGTTTTAATATAGCCAAATGCAGAGTTATACATGTAGAAACAAGGAAGGCAGGCAATCCCTACAGAATGGGAGACTGTATTCTGGAAGGCAGTGATTCTGAAAAGGATTTAGGGGTTTGTGGACAAGCAAATGATTGTGAGCTCTCAGTGCGATGCTGTGGCACAAATGGTTAATGCGATCCTTGGCTGTATAAATGGGAGTAGTGAGTAGAAGTCAGGAGTGGGTTTTAACTCTGTACACAGCCTTGGTGAGACCAGTACTGGAATACTGTGTACAGTTCTGGTGTTGCGTTTTAAAAAGGGTGTTGAAAAATTGGAGAGAATGCAGGGAAAAAAGCCACAAAAATGATTTGGAAGCTGGAGAAGATGTTTTCCGGTGAGAGACTGGAAGAGCTCAATCTTGTCATTTTTATCTTCTTTATAAAGAAGACTGAAAGATGACTTGATTGCAGTGTACATGTACCTTCTTGGGGAGAAAATACAGGATACTAGAGAGTTCTTTATTCAAATAGAAAAAGGCATAACAAGAACCAATGACTGGAAGCTGAAGCTAGACAAATTCAAATGGGAAATAAGGCACACATTTTTAACAGTGTGGGATGATAAATCATTGGAATAAGCCACCAAGGGAAGTCAGGGATTCCCATCTCTGATGTCTTCAGATTAAGATGGCTGCATTTCTGGAAGATGTGCTTTAGCCAAACATGAGTTACTGGGCTGTGTACAGGGGTAACTGGGTCAAATCTAATAGCCTGTGAGATACAGGAGGTCAGACTAGATGGTTTAATGGCCCCTTTTGGTCTTAAACTCTGTGAATCTATGACAAAGATTATGTCTCGGCACTGACTACCTCTTTCTAAGGCCAGGTCTCCACCACAGACTTATAGCAGTATAACTACGTTGCTCAGGGTGTGAAAAATCCACACCCCTGAGTGACGTACTTACACTGACCTAACCCCCAGTGTAGACAGCACTATGTCGGCAGGAGGACTTCTCCCATCAACATAGCTTCTGCCTCTCGTGGAGGTGGTTTAACTACGCTGACGGGAAAAGCTCTCCTTAATATAGAAAGACACGGCAAAATATAACAAGCCGAGGAAGAAAATCTTTGAGAGGGTCAAAAATAAGTTGCGCTCCCCAGGGGGAATTCCAGGGCTACTTGCTTTTCTCTGGGCAGTGTAGCACCTTTGATGAACTATTGGGCTGATCTGTTAGCTATACCCACTGGCGTATTTGACTCTCTCTACCTGTTGTGCCTGGCATGTTTTTTATAGGCTAAAAAGGGAAGAGCTGAAGGAAATGTGCTCCTTCCTGACCCTGCACTCTCTCGAAGTCTTGTCCCAACTTTGTCCCCTTATGATCTTGGAGTAGTGCTGCTGGGATTTTGAGTGAGCTGCTAGACCTGGTTGTAGTGGTCTGTGATCCCAAAAGGGGATAGCATCCCTTGTAATTAATCTAAGAATGTGTCCGCAGATCTGTTTCTCTCAGGTATTGCGAAGGCACCTGTCATCACAGTATCTAAGCAACAGCCATCAACTAAAGATAGCAGTGAGCCTGCCCAAAGAGGGCTCTGTGCTCTCCATCTCCC